AAAGTATTTCCGGATATACGTCACCGGTTTGCACAGCTTGGTTTTTTTTTAAAAATTAAAAACCACACCAACTTGTTGGTAAACATGGAACATTAACTTACAGCAACTTGTACAATTAATAAGGAAAAATAATTTAGTGCAACTTGTATACTAGATATGGAACAATAATTGTACTGCAAATTGTATAGTAAATATAGAACAATAACTGTACTGCAACTTGTATAGTAAATATAGAACAATAACTGTACTGCAACTTATATAGTGAACATGAAACAATAATTGTACTGCAACTTGTCAAGCATAAGACGTCTCACTTTTTTAAACATTAAACTTGTTCTGTTTGTTCTTACTGGATACATTGAGCCTGGATACTTGTCCAGTTAAACAAGTGCCCCACTGCAAATCGTTCAAACAGTAGCCAAAGCTAACCCACAAAAATCTGGCCACTAGGTGCTAGAGTTGCCAAGAAAGCCGAGCACCCCCCGCGTTTTAATTCCATTTCCTTGAGCCGGGGTGTAATCCTTTATCTTTCATTAACGGGGCTTAAAATGGGCTTCAGATGGGATCCCGTCTGTTTGGGCCACGAAAAATGCCTGGGTGTGTTAAATGGCGGGGTGGGTGGGAGGGGGGGGGAGACGCCTGACATATTGGGTGCGGTGACTATCTAGGGTCAAACGGTGCGGTGGTGACATCTGATATGTTGCTTGTTGTGAGTTGAGTAAGTTGTGCACGTGATTCAAGCTAATTCAACACAACCTAAGACTTTACTCGACTCTAAAGATGTATTAAAAAAGATGTTCTGTTGGCACTCGGTTAAACATCTATTTAGTTATCTCCCCTTGGCTGTTTCCATTGATATAAAGAACATTAAAAACATTCAACAGCACTTTGTGTTGAATGAACTGTTCCAATCGCGAATGCCAAAGCTGTTGTGTGTTTGTCTCTCTGATACATTTCATACATCAGTCTCTATTACGATTCATTTCGTCTAACGAAAAATACCGTTTTTAGGCTACTAGAGTATTTAATTTGCACTTTAAATTAGATTGTTTTTTAGTTACACAAATTCCAGACATCTCTTGTAATCACTATAGTGCAGTGCCACATTACCACCCCCCTCTCTCTCTCTCTCACACACACACATTCCAGACACCTCTTGTATTCACTATTGTGCACCACTACATTACCACGCACACTCACACCAATACACATTCCTATCACCTGTAATCAATGCATTGTGCAGGACCCCCCCCCTCCTCTACCAATTATCATCTCCGTCCACTGATCATTACCCACGTCATTGGCTGGACCTACCAGGAAATGGCTCGTCAGTCGGGGCGAACATTGATCTAAAATCAATTGGGATCGATCTTTTTGTTTCTGAATTAAGTTCTACTCAGGACCATTTAAACATCGCATTGAACTTGTCAGCGGGTCGATAATTGGCTGAACACGTCACGTGACAATCTTTAAATAGCTGCACGTCTATCTAGGTTAGCAATACTCCAGGTGGTATTAAATCTAATGGCAGATGCTAGATAATGAGACGACTTGCACCTCACATACACACCCACACCTTTTTGCTACACACACACTAGCGCCCACCTCCCCTAAATTTCACCAGACACCCTCCTAAATTAACCTAGATGGTTAAAGTTCGAACCTTAGTCTAATATTTTCTTCGTCCGAGGGTCACTTTGTTGTCGTTGAGGTCTCCGTTGGAGGCTAATTGACAATCTTCTTTTTCTATACTGTATTTCCATCATATGCGCAGTAGTATCACATGGTGGGGGTGGAGAGTGGGGTGCGGTCCGCACCGGGTAACACCAAGTAGGGGGTGACACCAAATTTTAAAAATCACAAAATATAGTGTCTAAACAATGTTTTACCTAGTAAAAACGAAAAATGCTAAATTTTTGGTGGGTGGGTCTGTGGGGGCGGCACCTTCTGTTTCCGCACCGGGTGACACCCGTCCTCGTGACGCCACTACATGTGCGCATGGACATTCGCTTCACCATCCGCCCCTTTCACTGTTTACCGGGCAGACACTTCCTCTACTCATTAACAAAACTAGCCAAACTTGGGGGAAAAAAAATCTTACCCGTCAGTTTAACGCACGAGGCGTGAGACAGAACTACCCAACCGTGTGGAATCATCAGGTCAACAGAAAGGTCCACACGTGATCAGGGTGGCCAGGGTTCAAAGAAAAGTTTAAGCCAATTTTCTTTTTCCACTCGTTTGAGATCGTAGCAAAACGTTGTTAGCCAATTTGGCATGCGCTTCTTTGTTGCTAGTTGTTTTATTATATTTTTGGCGTCCTGGCCAGGGATATTTCGCTTGTAGGACTGGATATATTTTTACGTCTCCAAGTGTCGAATAAAAAAATATACAACTCATAAATCTTTCATTACCTCATCAATAGCACAAACCATGCTCCATCACTAGCATTTATTGAGGTTACTGCACAGTACGAAACATCTATTGTGAAAATATCCCGACACGTTCGATTGATCGATACACACATTAGTTTTGTTCTTGACGCTTAAGTGCGTTCTTGAAATGTTTGATCAGGGTGTGACATTTTACAGTGGGCTTGTTAAAAATCTATTCTAGAGGTGGGTGGGCTTAAAGGTTTCTTTCAGAAATTTTTCTCACGAGGTAGAGCACTGAAAACTAACGGTGGGGGGGAGGGGAATAGCAAAAGTATGTATTTTCTATGTAAAGTACACACATTTTTTTAAATATTTGGAGCGGGGAGAGGGGAACCTGAAAGAAACAATGATGGGCTTGTTGAATGTGCACATAAAAACATGAATACACCAAGATAGCTTCACCCGAACAATTTAATTTACCAGACTTGCACCTGCCCGCCTCGTTAACTGACCTACACACATCCACCAGACATCAAACATCTCCCCCCCCCCCTCACCCCGCGTCCCCCTTCCCTCTTCTGCTCTTACTAACAATACTTTAAATCATATTTGCAAATTAACATCTCAAATAATCAATCATAGTTTTGACCAAACCAAGTCATTAACATTACTTTAAAACCATTTATTTTAATTAACCATAATTAATCCTTAGCCACGCCACCATCAACCACCAACCAACATACCACATCCCATCATCACAACATTGCACTTATGTGACCGTGAGTCTCTGGTTTCTTCTGTTCATATTCCAGAGACTTCGCACAATACAGCGTCTAGTCCCATCAGTTAAAAAATCGCCGCTGTTTGTTTCCGTCACCTAGATGAGCCGACAGCGCGAAGACTACCGCCCTAATGAAAACCAAACACAACGGGAAATCAATCGACGGGAGAAAAAGCCGGAGTTGGAGGCCGGACCGTCTGAAAAGATGCTCCCGTCTCCGGCCGTTAGGAATCCCAGTCCCGTTAGCAGGGACAAACATTCGGACATTTAATCGGATTGTGGTCATTTCACTTACCGCGCGGTCCGTGTTTGTTTTGGTCAGTTCTGTAAGAAAACATGGGATAGATGGTGGCGTGAGGTGTTTCAAACTAAACTTTCTGTATCTGTTTCATGGCATTGATGCTCAGCTCGCAGTCACTTCAATACTTCTCAGTAAGTGCACATCAGAGATACTCTCAAACGGCGTCACCATCTCCAGCATCCATACTGACAGACCTCAAATGGACGTAAATTAACACAAATTTCATGTCATCAGAAGAGAGGAAATAGTCCGAAAACAATTTTCAGTAAAGACGATAATTTACGAAAACTTGGGTCCCTAGTAAAAAAAATAGTCCCTAAAATAGCTAAATTAGCAACAAAAGACCTAGCTTTATTTTGTTCTTAGCACAAAAATTTGACCAAATATGTCTTAGTTTCTGCTTGGAGCTACTTATGTTTTCTTTGAAATCCAAGGACGAAAATACAAAGTCTTGGAATTCTGGTTTGTTAAAATGACTACTTTGATAGATGTCTTTTTATTTACCCTACAGAAAAAATGGAATCCCTAATTTTTACTACCAATAACCAAGGGGGAAAAAAACAGTGCTAAATGTTAAAGGAAAAAATAAGAAAAAGTCGAAAGAAAAAAAAAAAGGTTGGCGGGTTCAAATTGCACCCAACGGGAACTCCCAATAAAACCTAATCTTATTTCACGCCTTAAGTGCTCGATCCGTGGCCCATCCTTCATGTATCCTTCCGCGGGACTTTTTATCTTGTGTGTATATACTCCCACTTTTCGGCAATCTATCACCTCCCTCCCCCAAACCAAACATTCTTTGGGACAATTAATTTTCCTTTTTCCAGCCAGACTGTGTTTTATTCTCCTCATCTTTAGAAAAGTTTTTTTTTTCTTGAGCTGGAAAAAAATGTTACATTAAAAAAAAATCTTGAATCTTGAACGGATGCCGTGGGCATACGTCTAAGCACAGATGAACATCCGCTGTTTGCTATGGCAAGCAATATTGTTGAAATTTTTCAATGCTTTCATCCAGGCTCTTCAGCGTTGATCAACTTGTGGCTAGGGTTGCCAGATCAAAGTTTTCAAAAAAGAAAAAGGCCAAATAGGTTTGGAGTGTTTGCACACACAACACAACGTGTGCACACACTAGAAAAACGGAAACGACATCTAAAAATAGATATGGAGAAGTCCATAAAACTGTACAGATCATTCAGCGATGTAGCCAGTACTCGGATGAGTACTTTATGAGTATAATTTTTCTCGGCTATGCAATCTTTTATGGGTGAAATGGTAAACATTCTATCGTTAAAAAATATTGATGAGCTTTGTGTGTATGTATATATATATATATATATATATATATATATATATATATATATATATATATATATATATATATATATATATATATTATTGTCTGGGTTCTTTAAAATTTTAACTTCACGGTGTAGAAATAAACTCACGTCTGTCTAATAATTCAACCTATCCCTAACCCAACCCTTTAATTAGCCAACCCTTACACCGGCCATCTACCAACCATCTCACTGGTTTCTCTCTTCATCCCCAGGCTACTGGCTGTGCTACATCAACAGCACCATCAACCCCCTCTGCTACGCTTTGTGCAACGTCAACTTCCGACGAACGTTCTGGAAAATCCTGACCTGCCACTGCAAGAAACGCCGCGGGTCCCTGCACCGTATGGTGATGCCAGCCAACCACATCAACAACCTGATACCCAGATGAGAGCCAACCACATCAACAACCTGATACCCAGATGAGAGCCAGCTAGTCACAAGCGTGGTTTCCCCTTTCTGGCACAGATTTTCCTGCTCGCCATCTCCCAAAATGGCGGATGTTGTTGTTCGGGCGACGACCGATGCGTCACACTCGTTCAGATCGAGGTTAGCAGACGACAGTCTGCATTTCTTTTCCCGCCTGCTGCAAAAATGTTCGAAGGTTTTCATTGACTAGAACCTTCCAGAGAAGCAATGAAGCGTGATATTGTGTTTTTAGTAGTTCGCATATTGTTTATTTTTTTAATCCAAATTATTTGTAAAATAAGTAGGCCATAGGTACTATATTATTGAAAAAAAAAGAAAATTTTATTTTCCGTGCTGAAAAATTGGCCAGCTTTTGAAAAACTATGTTTATTTTTGTTTTTTAATTGAAAAATTTGAATTTTGAATTCCAGCGCAATACATATATCTTGTTAAGCAAAAGATAAGCAAAAAGTTTGAAACAAATATTTTTAAAGAACCTCTTTACACAAATGAAACCACATTATTTTATTACTTATTTCAACAGAATGTTGCTTTTTTCATAGTGGTGTTACCTAGAAAAATATTTTTAATATAGTTGATTTTGTTTGATACTTATTTTGCTTTACGTGTATATAAAAAGAGTGGTATTATTTTATTAATACGTGTGCACTATATTCATTTAACTGTTAAACTTTATTTGTTAAACACTTTTAATAACCAAATGACATTGTAATCTTTGAATCCACTCATAAAATAAGCAAACTCTTTATGTTTGTCTTATTATAACTACAGTAACATACTATATATATATATATATATATATATATATATATATATATATATATATATATATATATATATATATATATATATGTTTAGTTACATGTGTATTATAAATTTTTTGTAAATTAAAAAGTTGGCTCTGCCACTTGATAAGGTTCGTTGTTCTAGAACTGCTATTAGAGTTGTTTCTGTATGAAATGTTTGAACCAAAGGAACTATATTTTTAACCGAACCCTCCCCTCCCCTAAACTACGCACAAGCGAAAAAGCACATGGCATTTGGATGACATTCTAATGTCTGATGCACTCTATTGCTTCATATATTTCATGGCATTTGGATGACATCCTAATGTCTGATGCACTCTATTGCTTCATATCTTTCATGGCATTTAGGTGTCATCCTAATATCTGATACACTCTATTGCTTCATATCTTTCATGGCATTTAGGTGTCATCCTAATATCTGATACACTCTATTGCTTCATATCTTTCATGGCATTTAGGTGTCATCCTAATATCTGATACACTCTATTGCTTCATATCTTTCATGGCATTTAGGTGTCATCCTAATATCTGATACACTCTATTGCTTCATATCTTTCATGGCATTTAGGTGTCATCCTAATATCTGATACACTCTATTGCTTCATATCTTTCATGGCATTTAGGTGTCATCCTAATATCTGATACACTCTATTGCTTCATATCTTTCATGGCATTTAGGTGTCATCCTAATATCTGATACACTCTATTGCTTCATATCTTTCATGGCATTTAGGTGTCATCCTAATATCTGATACACTCTATTGCTTCATATCTTTCATGGCATTTAGGTGTCATCCTAATATCTGATACACTCTATTGCTTCATATCTTTCATGGCATTTAGGTGTCATCCTAATATCTGATACACTCTATTGCTTCATATCTTTCATGGCATTTAGGTGTCATCCTAATATCTGATACACTCTATTGCTTCATATCTTTCATGGCATTTAGGTGTCATCCTAATATCTGATACACTCTATTGCTTCATTTCTTTCATCAACGTGTGCCGGGTTGAATTTAATTTGTCAGATTTTGTTTGTCTGTATGTCACATTCTTCACTTGGCCGTGTAATTAACAATGAACGTAGGTGATCATTTGAAGGCTCTGTTGACATGCTCATTACAGGCACCATCTTCCGTGTTTTCCGCAACTACGGCTGGGCAGTGAGGGGGAGGGGCATACATTCCTAGTTTTAAAACCATCGATCTCAAATTCAAATAGTACACAACATAAGTCCGGCTAACGTAACAACAAGCAGTCTCATCCAGTAGGCAGTAGAGATTTTTTATTCGACCTGCAGTTTAAAATCGTTCTGTCAAAATACGGTTATGTTTCTCTAGAAATTTTTTTATGTGGACACCGCAGATATCCTGCCTCATACCCGTGTAAATCGATACTCTGATTAGCAGCGAATACAAGTAAGATAAACTGGTATTAAATTGCCGAATACGTCGTGTTTAAAGGCTTCATTTGTAGAGCGGTTTTGCAATTGCTTGCAAGAATTTATTTCTTTTTTTTTGCAAAACGAAGTTTAAAACATATAAACAAGGGTATTGTGCCAGGAAAATATATAGAAAAACCAGTGATATTTCATAGATTTTACATTTTACAAACAGCTTTTATATATATATATATATATATATATATATATATATATATATATATATATATATATATATATATATATATATAGATAGATAGATAGATAGATATACATATACATATATATATATACATACATACATATATATATATATATATATATATATATATATATATATATATATATATATATATATATATATATATATATATATATATATATATATATATATATATATATATATATATATATATATATATATATATATATATACAATATTTCTCCGTACTTGCCGACAATAGACTCCCTCAGAATGACGTCATTACGTGTAGTGAATGATTAACTACCAGTTGCTTTAGATAAGGCAGACATATTGGATTAGTGGCTTGGCTGATTTCCCTAATTAATCAAAGCAAAAGTGCAGGGGTCGTTGATAGCTGACCCATAAGCAAGAATCACGTGATAAAGTTTGGCACAGCGCAAGTTTCTGTTCCTCCTCACCAACAGTTCACTGTGTGATCACGTCTTAGTTCCCAACACCAACAGTTCAAGTGTTTGATCACATCTTAGTTCCCAACACCAACAGTTCAAGTGTTTGATCACATCTTAGTTCCCAACACCAACAGTTCAAGTGTTTGATCACATCTTAGTTCCCAACACCAACAGTTCAAGTGTTTGATCACATCTTAGTTCCCAACACCAACAGTTCAAGTGTTTGATCACATCTTAGTTCCCAACACCAACAGTTCAAGTGTTTGATCACATCTTAGTTCCCAACACCAACAGTTCACGTGTGTGATCACATCTTAGTTCCCAACACCAACAGTTCAAGTGTTTGATCACATCTTAGTTCCCAACACCAACAGTTCAAGTGTTTGATCACATCTTAGTTCCCAACACCAACAGTTCACTGTGTGATCACATCGTAGTTCCCAACACCAACAGTTCACTGTGTGATCACATCGTAGTTCCCAACACCAACAGTTCACTGTGTGATCACGTCTTAGTTCCCAACACCAACAGTTCACTGTGATCACATCGTAGTTCCCAACACCAACAGTTCACTGTGTGATCACATCGTAGTTCCCAACACCAACAGTTCACTGTGTGATCACATCGTAGTTCCCAACACCAACAGTTCACTGTGTGATCACATCGTAGTTCCCAACACCAACAGTTCACTGTGTGATCACGTCTTAGTTCCCAACACCAACAGTTCACTGTGTGATCACATCTTAGTTCCCAACACCAACAGTTCACTGTGTGATCACATCTTAGTTCCCAACACCAACAGTTCACTGTGTGATCACATCTTAGTTCCCAACACCAACAGTTCACTGTGATCACATCGTAGTTCCCAACACCAACAGTTCACTGTGTGATCACATCTTAGTTCCCAACACCAACAGTTCACTGTGATCACATCGTAGTTCCCAACACCAACAGTTCACTGTGTGATCACATCTTAGTTCCCAACACCAACAGTTCACTGTGATCACATCGTAGTTCCCAACACCAACAGTTCACTGTGTGATCACATCGTAGTTCCCAACACCAACAGTTCACTGTGTGATCACGTCTTAGTTCCCAACACCAACAGTTCACTGTGATCACATCGTAGTTCCCAACACCAACAGTTCACTGTGTGATCACATCGTAGTTCCCAACACCAACAGTTCACTGTGTGATCACATCGTAGTTCCCAACACCAACAGTTCACTGTGTGATCACATCGTAGTTCCCAACACCAACAGTTCACTGTGTGATCACATCTTAGTTCCCAACACCAACAGTTCACTGTGTGATCACATCTTAGTTCCCAACACCAACAGTTCACTGTGTGATCACATCTTAGTTCCCAACACCAACAGTTCACTGTGTGATCACATCTTAGTTCCCAACACCAACAGTTCACTGTGATCACATCGTAGTTCCCAACACCAACAGTTCACTGTGTGATCACATCTTAGTTCCCAACACCAACAGTTCACTGTGATCACATCGTAGTTCCCAACACCAATAGTTCACTGTGATCACATCGTAGTTCCCAACACCAACAGTTCACTGTGATCACATCGTAGTTCCCAACACCAACAGTTCACTGTGATCACATCGTAGTTCCCAACACCAATAGTTCACTGTGATCACATCGTAGTTCCCAACACCAATAGTTCACTGTGATCACATCGTAGTTCCCAACACCAACAGTTCACTGTGATCACATCGTAGTTCCCAACACCAATAGTTCACTGTGATCACATCGTAGTTCCCAACACCAACAGTTCACTGTGATCACATCGTAGTTCCCAACACCAATAGTTCACTGTGATCACATCGTAGTTCCCAACACCAACAGTTCACTGTGATCACATCGTAGTTCCCAACACCAATAGTTCACTGTGATCACATCGTAGTTCCCAACACCAACAGTTCACTGTGTGATCACATCGTAGTTCCCAACACCAATAGTTCACTGTGATCACATCGTAGTTCCCAACACCAACAGTTCACTGTGTGATCACATCTTAGTTCCCAACACCAACAGTTCAC